AGCGAAAGGGTTGTGCACGGGGTTTGGAGTGGGTTTGACCATGTTTTGAAGGGGCTGATCCGGTAGTGAGCAACTTTTGATCTTGCGTGATTGTGATCACTCTCTTTAAAAGGGCCGCGAATCACAATGCCCATGATGGCTACAGGCCAATCACTCTGACATGTTGCTTTGCAAAATATGCCACACCCGTGCCGAGGTGGAAGGCCGCTGCTGCCGGCCATGCATGGAAGTGGCCCGCCTGCAGCGGATAGTGCGCGCATGGCAAGAACAAGCTGCCGGCTTGGGCCGTGCCACCAACCTTGGCGCTTTTGGTCGCAGCAGTGGATGCCATGCAATGGTCTATGAGCCGCCGTCTCGCAGCCCAGCGCCCGAGCGAGCGGAACCAACGGAGCCTCGCGGCCGCAGTAGCGGCCCGTCTCGCGGCAAGTCGGCCGGCGGCAGGCCGAGCGGTGGCAAGCAAACTGGCGGTAAGGGCCATGGCAAACAGAAGGGCTGGCGCGGAAACAATCGCTAGGGAGATGATGACCTGGTACAGAGGGCAGCTGCTGCAGCAGCCAGGGCGGCCGTGGAAGCAGTCACAAGCCGCTGGCAGGGATGCCGCGCTCCCAGAAGAGTTTTTGCAGGAGTCCTGTCGGACGGCCAGCAAGCCAAGCGTGCTGACCGCCCGAGCAGTTGACCTCCACAGTTTGACGCCAACGTCGGGAGGCACGTCGCAGCGCGGTAGCACAAAAGGCGGAGCTGCTTGTTTGCTGGCTGTGCGCGTCTGCTGTCTTCATCTGCGCCTTACCTGGTAGCTGACCCACGATGGCCCCACCGCGCAACCACTACGGACCGAGCCCGACAAGGCGCCAACTCCCGCGCCCCAGTCGGGACGGAGCTATGCAGGCCCCATCGCGTGTGTTCGCGGAGCAGCCGGAGTCGCGAGAAAAAAAACGAAGTTGAGTTTGCTGACCCTCCAGCCCCACGCCGTCTGCCGCCGTTGCGCTGAGCAGGGACGGCGTGATGACAGCGCGCAATTTCGCCAAATGAAATGGACGGGAGAGGAATGATAGAAAAGAGAGAAAACATTTTGGCAGAAAAAACGGAAACATTGACATTGCCGCGAAGCAGTCGGAAAGCCAGGAGCGGAGGTCAGTCAGCTGATTACGTCGGCATGCTGGGCCGGGCGACACTAAAGAACTGGTGCCGAGCTGCGACAAGAGTGGCGACCACACTGCGCCGAGCACCGTGCTGTCGACCGCAAGCTGCGCACACGCCACCACGGATGGCAGCAAATCGCATCCGGACCGTTGGCGACCGTGTTGCAGCGAACCTCGCACCTGCCCTCGACCCCAGGCTTACCTTTGGCTTCCATTTTTTCCTCCCCTTTCGCGTGTTTGTGTTGTGTCGACTCCGGCTGCCCTTCCCTCTGAATTCCGTCCGGTGCCAACGCCGTGCTCGCCTCGACACGTACGACACGTACGGTCCTTCGCTGCAGGTCCCCGCATTGGACTTCGCGCCTCTGTTCGAGCGCGGGCCACAAGAACCGAAACAATCTCCCAGCCATCTATCCTGCACGCGCCCTGGAGCACTGACGAGCATTCCATTTGCGTCAGCACACACTCTCCACCCACATGCCCGCGGCCAGCGACGTCATTCGGGCCATGCCAACAACACACTTGCACAAGGCCGCCGCAATGCTTTTGTATACCTTGACATCATAGGCTTTGGGGTCGGAATATTCTCGAATCCCACGTTGTTTGTCAGAGGTCGAACTCAAAGACGACGTCCGAGCAGCGCTGCGCAAGCAAACTGCCACAAGCGTTGCCCGCCATATCGGCCCGTGCATTTCAACTACAAAGGCCCGCTGCAGCCAGCCGTGCAGTAGAGGAGCCGATCGAATCTTAACACGGCAAAACATTTCCGCAGGCCCGACGGCATGCAGTCGTTCAAAAGTTGCTGAGATCTCTTGCGCTGTCCAAATTGGTTAACAAGTTCCTGCTGCACTCGTTGAAGGAAGGGATGTTGCAACAAGAACGAAGCGGCTGAGACATGCTAAGGCAACAGTTGCTTCAGAAATCAGCTTGGTCAGCTCCTTGTTGGGGTCTGTCTTATCATTCTGAATTCTGGCCTTGCATCTTAGGGTTTCAAAAAACAGAATATTCGAGAGCTCAACAGTGGCGTTGGCGTCTGATGGGTGGCCGGTTTCGCCCAGCATAGACGAGTGACTGACGGCTCATGTTATCCGTGCCCGAACCCTCTCTGAGGCATGAGCGCCCAGCAAACAACATAACGTAGATGACACCACGGCCAGCACTTGCCAACCTCCACCCACCACCTCATCTTGAAGATCACCACATGTATCACAACTTGTTGCTTCCGAGTGAAGCTCAGATCTCCGGTCCATGTCTCACGGTGCAACCTGGCAGCCCAGGCCAGAATCTGTGTCAGCCGCGCTTCGGAGGGGGAGTCGCTGCTGGCTCCTCAGCAGCTGACAAGTTGCCAGACACAGGAGTTTAGGGTTCAGAATGTCGAGGGATGAGGGCATCTCCGGGCCTTGCGAGAAAATGAAGCCCATCGCTGCCAGCTCGTCCGGCGTCAACTTGTCATCCTCCAAACCTCGGATCCGCACAGCAACGAGGCAGCACGTCTACCGCTTGCTAGGACAAAAACAACATGGCAAGCAGCAGCTGTTGCGGCAACAGTTCTCTAAGGCAGAAACAGGCTAGCATCGAAGATCGCAGTCGTCCGTCGAAGTCGAACAAGCCGCCTTGCAAGCTCTCTCGGATCCGTCTGTAGTCTACCTGTGCCCATCCCGATTTGCCATTGGCTTCCTGTGAAAGACACGGATACCGACAGTGTCCCACTTTGGCTTCTGCGATTTAATGTGCAATCGATTTTGGACTCGAGCTTTGGCACGGACTTTTCATATACAAGCACTGCAGTTCAGGCCGGAAAAACGAACAAGCATCCCTGCTGGTCCCCCAGCAACAGATGCAAGCTGCCAGTGGTCCGTTTTCCACAGGCCCAACGTGTGCGAACAGCAAAATTCAACCCAAAAACTTCAGAAGTACAGATCATCTGAAATGCATTTTGATTCAAGAGACCTACAAGAAAAGCTCGATTTGACAGGAGCTTTCTGCAAGAAAACTGGTTCTTGCATCCAAAAATATAAACATAAAAAAAACTTCTGCAACCCAGCGGTTCCAACACATCACGAAGGAATTTACCATCGCATTTCGTATGATGAGACCCTGGCCGCTTCCGTCCCGCCATATGTCAAGCAGGTAGCAGTGCCCCCATACCTGGGCACTGCAAAAGGACGTGTCGGAGGTGCTAGCAGCGCCTTGAGGGTTGCAGCAAAGTCGCGATTTTTGATTCGGGCGTATCTCGTTGCTGACCTGGCCATGTCAGCTCTTCTCAGCACGGTCAGTGGCCAGTGTCATGGGCCCGTGCTTGCCGCCGCTCGCGGCCACAAGTAGTGACACCTCAACATGCCCCCACAGCAGCTGCCATACACGACAGATCACAGCAGCAGACAGCAGCTTCGCTGCACAGCAGCTGCGCCACACTCTGGCGTGGTCCGACTCACTGAGGGGGTGGCAACGAAGCGCTTTCCTGACCACGGCATGCTTGTTGGGCGGCCTGACGCTCACATGCTTGTACGTCTGGCATCACCTTGCTCTGTCTTCTAAGACGCCGGCCCTGATCTGGGCCTGCGTGCGGAGAAACAGTGGCCTTGCGCAACGTACTGCTCCATATGCCGTGCAAGCTGCGGGCTTCAACTAGAGCAAGCAAGCAGCAGCAACATCCACCAGCCGCGCATGCCATCTCTGGTTCACCAGGAAACATGTCTATCCAATATCACATCGTAGCCTGCTCTGTGTTGAAAGGAGGTCAGTGCTTACAAGGTTCATTGCCTTAATCTCATTGCCACGCACGCTGATACTAAGCATCTGCCATAGGTTTGCAAGCTGCGGCTGTGTTAACACTGCAGGCGCCCGATTCTGGAGAACCTACAGGACATTGCTTGCGAAACGCGCACTTGAGCACTAAATTGCATACTGGTCTCCATGGCCTCATGCATGCACAACTGGAGGCATGAGAGGCTGCCAGAGAGACAGAGAAAGGGAGAGTCAGGAGAGAGGACACAGAGGCAGACAGAAAAGGAGAGGCAGACAGAGAGACAACAGACAAAAAGAGAGAGCACACAGACTACCGTAGAGTTCTGCGCAACAGTCTTCACAGCAAGGCAATAGACTAGAATGGAGTGCACGAATCCAAAAAAATGGGTACATGATATGATATGACAACAACTGGGGGGATGTGGGGACAGGGCCTGAACATAAAGGACCCTAAATTGGGGGAACCTACCGAGTCTTGACCAGACCTTTGGGTGTAGTTCGGCGTGCAAGTCCTGTTGTCAAGCCCAGATCGTGCAGTCTCACTTTTCGGTCGCTCCGAGCTGCTCGTCCCGCTCCCAAGGTAGGCTCCTGGCGACAGGGTTTAGGGTTAACCTTGTTTCCCCTGATATCCCCCAGTCGACATGAAAGACCCCAAACGTTCCAAAAGCCAAGCCCCAAGCTGCTTTTACACACAAAATCCTAGGTATGTACCTCTCAACCTTCTCCAAAGATCATGCAAGCCACAGTGGGTGCAAGGAAAGGTCTTCCAGCGTTGTGCTCACAGCTTGCCAAGTAAGACGCCCGAGCCTACAGAAGTGAGTCCGAATCCTTCCCGCGGATCCGGGTCCCTTGGAGGGTCAATCTTCCCCACATGGGGGATTCCGAAGTTCGGGGTACCTTACTGGGGTCGTTATTATAAGAGGACCTGCTATTTTGGGGGTCCATACTAGGGTCCACTAGTTTCGCAAGGTTACACATCTCAAGGTGAGTGTAGCTTCTCAGGATGGGAGAGAAAACGGTTTTTGCTGGGCCCACGATGAAGCTCGAACCCTAAACCCTAAACCCTGAACCCTAAACCCTAAACCCTTAACCCTAAACCCTAAACACCAGGCCTTCCTATCGCTTCTTCGCCTGCTGCCAGCCCTCCTCCTCGGTCCTGGAGAGGGCGTGTGGGCCGGGTTCTTTGGGGTTTAAGGGTTCAGGGTTTTGGGCGTTTAAGGGCTTCGGGGTAAGGGGGGAGGGAGGGGGGGGGGGGGGTTCGGCTTCAAAGTTGAGGGTTCAGGGTCCGGGGCGCTGTGGGGCTCAGGGCACAGAAGTGTTGGGTCACAGAACGTATCGGAATTGAGGATTTCTGCTTCGGATTGCTAAGGTCTGTGCTGGGCCACTCAACGTCCGATCGCCAAAGAATCCCCGTGGTTTAGGGATAGGATGTTAAACCAACGTGCTACAATGGGAACAGCCCCCCCGAGCAAGAGCAAGCCACTGAAGCCCCGTCCTTGCGGCATCAGCCTTCTTCCTTGGTGGCCGAAGACTAGGCTTAGAGACTTCGGGAAAGGCCTGGTTCAGTGAGGTGTCGTGGAGGCTGAGCCCCTGCTGAGTCAGGACAACACCACAAGCCAAACTTGCACAAGCTCCTGACAGTAGGATGCGAAAGGAAAACCTGGCATGATCGCACATCTCCCCAAAAGCGTTGTGCAATCGAGCGTCAGGAGCTTCTTCTCCTTGGCCAGGCGCGCCTTCTCCTTGCGTGCCTCGGACTGCTCCTGCAAGGCCTTCTCCTTCATCTTCTCGGTCTTCTTGGCATGGATGGCCTCCATCAGCACGCGCTTGTTCTTGTAGCAGTTACCCTTGGCGTGGCGGTAGAAGTAGTGGTAGATTCGCTTGTCGATCTTCTTCTGCTGTCGGTACTTGCGCAGGAGACGGCGCAGGACGCGCTGGCGGCGCATCCACAGCACCTTCGTGGGCATTCGTGCCTCACGGGTACCCTTTCGCTTTCCGATGCCGGTGTGTCGGCCCTTGCGCTTGGCCTCCAAGTTCTTTCGCACCCGGGAGCGCGAGTGCATCTTCACCGCCTTGCGGATGATCAGGCCGTCCTTGATCATCTTCCTCAAACGCATCAACTCACTCCACCACATCCCGAACCTTGCGACTCTGTTCACAAGCGCTTGGGACCGCGCCTGATGTTGAAGCGCGAGTTGGCCATGGAAAGCTCATTGGTCTCGTTGGGGTCCAGCCTTGAGGGCGGAACATGCAGACTCCACAACACTCTGCAGAGTTCGGCAGATGTGTAGCTGCGTAGTTCCACTTCCTGCACCCAAAAGAAAGCCGCAAAACCCGAAGACTCCTGAACCAAGACGGAAACACACGTCGAAAAAGTTAGGCCCAGGCCATACGCGGTTCTTGCCGCATCCCAGGATGGATGCGGCAAGCCGCTTCTGCAGCTTCAGCGACATCTTGGAAGCCCCCCGGCCCTTCCCTGGGAGCAAGCTGACCAGAGCCACGGTCCTGGCGGATCTCTCGAAATTGGGTGGTGTGGCTTTGGGCGTTTGGCATCACGGCGCTCCATAACTTGAGGACTAAACTGAAAGAAAGAGCGAGCGAGAGAGAGAGAGAGGGAGAGACCTCGAGGGGGAGGAAGAGAGACGACATCGTGAAACCCAGGACTGAGATGCGTTGAGTCTGAAGCACTGGCCGATCAGCAGCTACCTCCTTTTTGCGAGCTGCTCTCTGGTGCTGCGTGTCCACCCTCGATCATGGGGCCCTCCGTCGGCGCGAATAGGAAAGGTTGGAGCTAATCATCTATACAGGCTTTTCTTTTTGTCAGCTCACTGCCAGCGGACCTTGGCAGACCATGATGCGCAGGATTTCTTCGAGGACACCCGAAGATTTGGCCATCGAATCGGTTCAGGGTTTACGGAAATCAGGGACCCCTACTCACAAATAGTAGGATTCCTAAGGACCCCAAGAAGGTACCCCTCATTTCGTCAACCCCCATATGCAGACCCCCTTGTCCCTCTGTGACCTGAACTAGCTGAGTATTGCATTGCCATCCTTAGCCAAGAAATTGTCTACAAGTCACGCTGAGGTCCAGGCCGATGTCTCTAGCGCTTCTTTGCCTGCTTCGCCTGCAAGAAGCCACAACATGAACTCTAAGCAAAAGGAACTTCGCAACCTGTGCGAAAAAACCAGCAAACAAGTCCGTGAAACCTGCTGCCAGCCAGCATCTTCCTCTGTTCGGGCGGCGTCCGCCTTCTTCCTTACAGTGCTCAAATATCAAGCGCGGCCCTGAAGCATATATCATATGCCCCACCATGTCCACCCTAGTCAGCTTACCTGCGATGTAGGGTCATGGACTTCATGGACCTTGGACCTTCTTGCTGTTGTCAGATCCCCCTTGTGAAAGTTGCAGCTTGACATGCAATCCAGCGTCAGGAGCTTCTTCTCCTTGGCCAGGCGCGCCTTCTCCTTGCGTGCCTCGGACTGCTCCTGCAAGGCCTTCTCCTTCATCTTCTCGGTCTTCTTGGCATGGATGGCCTCCATCAGCACGCGCTTGTTCTTGTAGCAGTTACCCTTGGCGTGGCGGTAGAAGTAGTGGTAGATTCGCTTGTCGATCTTCTTCTGCTGTCGGTACTTGCGCAGGAGACGGCGCAGGACGCGCTGGCGGCGCATCCACAGCACCTTCGTGGGCATTCGTGCCTCACGGGTACCCTTTCGCTTTCCGATGCCGGTGTGTCGGCCCTTGCGCTTGGCCTCCAAGTTCTTTCGCACCCGGGAGCGCGAGTGCATCTTCACCGCCTTGCGGATGATCAGGCCGTCCTTGATCATCTTCCTCAAACGCATCAACTCACTCCACAACATCCCGAACCTTGCGACTCTGTTCACAAGCGCTTGGGACCGCGCCTGATGTTGAAGCGCGAGTTGGCCATGGAAAGCTCATTGGTCTCGTTGGGGTCCAGCCTTGAGGTCAAGGCTACGAGGGTGGAACGAGGAGCAGAAGGGCAAAAGCAACAGAAGGCCATGAGCCCCTAAGGACCCCCGCCACACACGGTTCTTGCCGCAGCCCAGGATGGACGCGGCAAGCCGCTTCTGCAGTTTCCTTTGCACATCGGGCACGGTTTAAGAATCCCGTCAGAGTTGTGATCTTAGTCGGATAGGCAGACATGGAAATGATCGTCATGCTCTTGAGTGTGGACCTAGAATGAACACGTTGGAAGTCAGATGGGGCAGGCACGACAAGCTTTCCGTCTTCTCTCGGGTGGTTTCAGGGTCCACTGTTCACAAGCAAGACTTTTAAGACCGAGTGTCAGCGACATGATGGAGGGCCCCCAGTTCGCAGGAGAGGGCGGGGGGGGAACAAAGAGCCAGTACCTCCTGCGTCGCGCGAGTGGTCTCTGTGATCTTCTGATTTGCTCTGCGGGCATAAACCCTCAACCTCTACCCCTGAGCTCTGTCAAAGCCGTGCTCCATCGGTCACTCTAAGCCCGAGCACACAAAACCCGCAGCCTGTGCGCTTGTGGAATCCTGCAAACCAATACACTTCGCAATCATAATGCAGTTCTTCACAAGAAGCCCAAGTTCAATCCCATGTGCTTTTCTCCGCAGCCATTGTGGTCAGGTTCAGTCGAGGTTGCAAAGGGCCGTGCCTCATCGCTTCTTTGCCTGCGAAGGCAAGCAGAGGGAGGCGGAGCTGCATGTAGCCGAAACTTTACCGAACTTCCTTCCCACCCACAGAGAGCTTGAGCTCCGGCTATATCATACATACATACTTATGAAACATCTCCAGTTTGAAATGTTTCATCTTCGGTTTCAGGGCGCGATTCGGACCCGAGATCCAGGCTTCGGGCGGCGAATTAGTGTGCACTGTTTGTTGTGGAAGCACTGTGTTCCTCCTAAGTGGAGCCTTGGCGGAATGATGTTTGGGGCTTAGGGGGGGGCTAGGTTGACAGCTTAGCATGGCCCCGGGGGGCCCCAAACAAGAGGACCAGACACCTGCTGCCAGCCAGCATCCTCGTCGGTCCTGGCCGCATCCGCCTTCTTCCTGGGCAGCGGTGCTTTTGGGGGGTCAGGGGTACTGACCCTTACAAGACCAACTTGGTTGCTTGTGCTGAAGGACAGAAAACCCATGATCATGGACCCCCAAATGCCTCAACCACAGCACCGCTTGGGATGGCACGAGACCCGTTGCGCCCACGTGGAGGTTGTTGGTCCCTTCATGCGTAATTGCATACCAGCACCTTTTGAAATTAAACCCTTAACCAGAAACGCCAATTTAGAATAACTTCGGTCCCCCCGCACTCTGAATAGGACGGTCAGCAACTTCGGACGGGTCGCAGCAGCTTCTTCTCCTTGGCCAGGCGCGCCTTCTCCTTGCGTGCCTCGGACTGCTCCTGCAAGGCCTTCTCCTTCATCTTCTCGGTCTTCTTGGCATGGATGGCCTCCATCAGCACGCGCTTGTTCTTGTAGCAGTTACCCTTGGCGTGGCGGTAGAAGTAGTGGTAGATTCGCTTGTCGATCTTCTTCTGCTGTCGGTACTTGCGCAGGAGACGGCGCAGGACGCGCTGGCGGCGCATCCACAGCACCTTCGTGGGCATTCGTGCCTCACGGGTACCCTTTCGCTTTCCGATGCCGGTGTGTCGGCCCTTGCGCTTGGCCTCCAAGTTCTTTCGCACCCGGGAGCGCGAGTGCATCTTCACCGCCTTGCGGATGATCAGGCCGTCCTTGATCATCTTCCTCCGCAAAAAGTTATGAGATGTTGCTCATCTACACAGTATGCAGGCTAAAGTCGGTCATGACGGAAGGTCCCTGTATGTGCGAGGCGCTGGGATGCTGCCCCCCGCCTGATGTTGAAGCGCGAGTTCGCCATGGAGAGTTCATTGGTCTCGTTGGGGTCGAGCCTGGCATCTGCCAGCACTCTCATCTCCGGGACTCTTAGAACCAGGGACTCAGTTCTTCCCTACACTCTACAAGCACACACACACACACACCAACTCTACTTGAGGCTCCGACCACACACGGTTCTTGCCGCAGCCCAGGATGGACGCGGCAAGCCGCTTCTGCAGCTTCCTTGGCTGAGTCTTACTCAGCGAAGCTGCTGTGTTGGGCGGTTGCCCTTTGTAAGGTTCAGGGTTATCTAACTACTCTAAGCAAAGCTTCATCTCACGGCCGAAACTCGGAGCCCTTGGACTTTCAGGAGAGAGGCTTCGGGTCCGGTGCGGGGCAGACTTCGAGGTTCAGGGTGGAGGGTGTGGATCGCCTTTGCGTAGGTTTCCGCCCCCAAAGCAAGAAGAAGCGCACGGCCTGCCCCAGCAACATCTGACACCCGAAAATCCTGAACCCTAAAGTAAGTCAAGTCCTTACAGCGTGAAACCTCTCGACTTTGCCATCTCGAGGGGGTTTTATGCCCAAGCCTTAGAGCCCCGAAGTGCGAAACCCTGAAACGCCCTAAGCCCTTAAACCCCTAAACGCCTAAGAGCCCTGAAGCCCCCCCAGCCCTTAAACCCCCAAACCCTATGGCCCTGAAACCCCTAAAACCCCTGAAGCCCCCACCGCCCTTAAACCCTCACACCCTCTAACCGCTGACCCTAAACCCTAAACCCCAAACCCTAAACCCCAAACCCTAAACCCTAAACCCTAAACCCTGAACCCCTCCAAACGCTCCTCCAAGCTTCAGCGACATGGCCGAGGCCGGCTCCTGGCCCCCCCCTGCAACGGGCAAGTCTTGAACCTGACCGGCCCCTGAGTTGCGGGTTTCAGGTTTTTATACTAAGAGGTTTTAGGGTTTAGGGTTTAGGGTTTGAGGTTACTTTGGATGTCGCTGGTGTGGCTTACTTGCCGCTGGTCTGGGTTTTTATTGCATGTGCCCCACACATGGGCTCTAAAGATTATACCTCTGACATACCCCCCCACATGCCCCCAAAAACGTTCAAGGCCCATATAAAGCCCCATACTTTTGTTACGGTTCATTCACGCTCCTTGACAGGAAATATGGGGATGCTTCGGGTTTGGAGGTGGACAGCACCCTTGATCAAATCGAGGCGACATGTGAGGATATACATTATGGAAGCATACTGTTTATGGGGGTTTGCGAAAATAGGGGTACCCTTTTTGGGGGTCCTTATGATAAGGGGTCTATATTTGGGGTCCCCTATTTTCGTAAACTTCCATATGTATGATAAACCGGGCCTGGAGTGAAGATCAACCGCCCCTATGGGCATTTTGAGGGCTTCGGAATACGTGCAGGGCTCGAGGGCTTGTATGGTTGATGGGTACGGGCGGGGGTTCAAAAGCATGTCGGGAGAATTCCAGGTCGAGAACAGAAAGAGAAAACAGAAAGACGCCGCCCTTTTTCTCGCACACTCTGCGCGTCTGACGTAGAGATAGGATAATGCCGGCGATCGTCGCCTGTCTGTGGCACGCTTGGCCTGCTGCTGGGCAGTGTCAGGCACCCTGGGGCAGTAGAGGAAAGACGTCTAGTTCTGACAAGGTGATGGAGGGGTCAAGTGTGCAGGAATCCAGCCCCGTTCTCAATCCTGACCGCAGCGTTTTGCTGAGTGGGCAGTTCTGGGCCCTCTGTGCACTTGCCTGCACACTCACGGGCTGTCTCCTCAAAGCCGAACATTGACGTAAGCATCTCCGACGAATCTCTCTAGGCCCTAAACCCTAAACCCTAAACCCTCACATCTGAAGAATCTCTCTGCCCTAAACCCTAAACCCTAAACCCTCACATCCCCTCACAGCTGAAGCAAGGAGACCCGAGGCGGCCCCGCGTGTGGAATCGCAGGTCTTTTTGGGGGCGAATTCTTGGCCCATGCATGAAGTGCCACATGGCAGAGTAGCGTAAAGTATCCCCAAGGATCTCTATTATGGCAGTGCTTCTCTACTGCACTCGACTGGTTACGTTTGACGTTTGAGAAATCTACAAGACTCGAGAATCAAGCCCACTCTGATCTTTCCACTCTCTGCTCGATGCCAACCTACTGCAATGGTGGGCCTGCACCTGCCAGGAGCGGTGCACTTGGAAATCTCAACTCGTGCAAAAAATCTCCTCGAACCCATCGCGACTGTCTGGAATCATCTGCTCACCACTTGTAGGACTTCCTTCCGCGAGGCGGGCCCATGTTCCTCAAGTGCTGCATGGGACTGCCTTTGAGGAAGTGGCCAGAAGGCTTCGTCCTTCGCACCGAGGGACTCCCAGAGTCTGAGATCGCGGGCTGCTGGAGATGGTGTCCACAGTTCTTGCAGTAGGCAGCTCCAGGAGAAGCCTCCACATGGCACTGGGAGCACTGGGAGCCGTCTAAGGGATCCGTGGCCTGCGAGGCCTGCGATGACTCGATGGGCTCACCTGCATGCTGGACTACCTTCTCCATGTACTTGAGAAGCTCCCTCGTACTCTTCTCGCTGTAAGAGACAGCTTCCTGAATAGCACTCTCCACCTCTATCGTCCTCTTCATCGCTCGGTCAATCTCATCCTGGATTCTCTTCCGCTCACTCTCCAGTTGTCCTTGGAAGGTCAAATCCTCGAAGACTGTAGCCTCCTCGGCAGCGAGGGCTCGGGTTTCCTCGGCAAACGCCAGCTGCTCGGCCGCCTCTGCCTGCTCCTCCTCCTCCCGCGCTCGGTCGTTACAAAGCGCAGCGAAGGCCTCCGCGTGCTCCTGCGCCGCCAACTCTGCCGATGCCAAAAGTTCCTCACACTGGGCGACGGAACAGTCCAAGCTCCGCTCTGCGGACGACAGCTCGGAGCGCGCAGCTTGCACGCGGAACTCCTCGCTCTGGAGCTGCCGGCTCGCCTCCGCCTTTCGCTCCGCGGCTTCCTTTGCTTGGGCCGCGGCGGCCTTGGCTAACTCACGCACCTCCTCAAGGCGCGAGTTCATCCGGGCCACTTCCTTGTTGGCCGCCTTCTCCGCCTCTGACAACTGCTGCCTAGCCTGGACGCTCTGCTCCTTGCATGTGGACCACGCCTGGCTCACCTTCAAGCCCAATGCCTCGAAGTTCTCCTCGGCCTCCGCCTCCACGGCCTCGATCTCCGCCGCTGCCTCGAGCTCCCGCTCTGCCAGGGCGGCCTCCGCCTCGGCGCGGCGACGCTCTGCAGACCCGGCGGCCCGCTCTGCCTCGGCTTTCGCCGCGGCGCGGCGCGCCCGACCGTCCTGGTCGGCGGCCTCTGCCAGAGCCTCGGTTTCATGGCGGAGCGCCCTGGCCGCCTCGAGCCTCTCCTCTGCCGCGGCCTCCTCGGCCTCAAGCTGCTTGTGGCTTACCTTCTCCTGCTCCGCTAGCTGCTGTTGGGAATCCTCCACGAGTTGGCACATCTTCGTGCGGACCTCCTCCGACCACTTCTTCGTCTCCTCAAGGTCACTCCCTGCCCGATGCATCTTGCACTCGGCATCCTGGACCTTGGCAAGTGAGATGCTACCGGGCATGAACCAATGCGACATCCCCAAACGACGAAAACTGCCCGAACATCTCTTGAACCCCACCAAACCTCGGGAGGGCTGCTGGGTCGCCAGCCTTGGCACTCATCTCATGGTGATGGGCCTTGAACTTTGCCTGCAAGGCCTCCACCTGCCTTTTCGCAGCTTGCCTCAGCCAACGACGATTGGGGAACGGACACGCTAGCCTGCATTCTATGCGGTTGCATTGGCACTGTGGCACCACACTACATGATACTGCATCATGTTACAGCTGCACAAAATCGGAGATCTCAAGGTGCAGAGGACAGAAACGAGAGGGAACAAGCTCATTCGTAAGAGCACAGCTCTAGCCGCCAGGTGCGAAGCTGAATGCCAAAAGCTCTCGGGGACACCAGGCAGGACCTTCCGAGGTTCACACGCTGCTTCCTCAGACGCCCGGGTAGCTGCCAGCACCTGCGAAAAGTCGTTTGCGACTGCGAGCTCCCTGAAAGAAGAAGACATGATCAAATACCCAATACCTCTCGCAAGCGAAGACCCGACACAACACATGATCACATCAAATCCTCGTCAGAGGCAGGAGCGGCCACGCCTTGCGCGAGTGCTCAGCACGCAAATTTGCGATGTTTTCCGCGACTTGCTTCCTCAGCATCTTGTAAGCAACTGGCTGGGCTTCGGGGGATGTAGGGCTGACTGAAGAATGGCTTGGGAAACTAAGCGAACTTCTGCAGTGATCCGCAGTATGTCACAGCCATCAAGCCAATGCTGGAGGCTACGGGAAGCATTTCATCAATCCAATCAGACTAGCTGCGCTCGTGCGCCCTCTCCCTGTCGAAACCCTAACCTCTAAACCATAAACCCCTAAACCCGTCATCCCTGAACCGGGCGCCCGAGCTCCGTGTCACGCTGCTGGCATTGCGCGGCCGCCGTGCGGCTGCGTGCCTCACCTTCGACATTTGGAAGTTGGGGCGTAGGGTGTGAGGGCTTAGGAGCTCTCGAAGCTGCCCAAGAAATAGACTCTACAACCCAATGAGATGCAAAGGTCAGGACTGACGTCCAGCTCCCGCCTTTGGCCGCTGCGTAGGCATCCGACGACTCCTTCAGAGCTCGTGCCTGAGCACCCGGCTAGGCTGGCGAGGGACTTCAGAGAGTTCAGGCGCTCGTGTTAGAGTCTTTTCGAACGTTGAGCATGGTTGCCGGTTCTAGTGACCATAAACCCTAAACCCTAAACCATCATTGCATGCGTATCTACGAAGAGATGCTTTATAGGGCAGTTTTTCGCAGCAGCCAAGGCTAAGATGCTGCTTCCAAAGGACAGGTCGAGAGGATGGTTCTGAAGACGATACCAGGGAGCATGCCTAAGAGCATTCCCCCAGCTCAAACCGGAGCCCTGTCAGTGCTACGAGCGTTGCAACCCATCCACTCTTGACGTGACAAAGCTACGGAGCGAGTTCGGCGAGTTCAGCTCGGCCCGTGTCGGACATCTAAATTCGTGCTGGGCACTTGATTCGTCGAAATACATCGCCATACGAACAAACAGCAGGGGGCCCCCGAAACCACGAACCCCCAAACCGGCCCAACCCGAAGATCTCCCAAGAACCCCTTAGAACCCCCTGTCAGAGCTCCCCCTTATAGGCAGGCCCTTAAAGGAGCCCTTAAAGGAGCCCTTATAGGAAGCCCCCCTGAAAGCCATCCTGCGCGCCGCGGCGCCGTCTGCTCCTCCGCTTCGATGGCCGCCTGCTCCGCCGCGGCGGCGGCCTGGCCCAAGAAAGCAGTATTGAAGAATAGGGCTTATGGGGTTTATAACTAGGGCTTCTAGGGTTATCATTAGGGCTTGTAGGGTTTATCATTAGGGTTTGTAGGGTTAAAAAATATGGGTTTCTGGGTTAGGGTTTGTAGGGTGCCCAGGCCGCACCTCGGGGAACAGGCAAGACTTTGGGTTTATTATTAGGGTTTCTCATTAGGGTTTATGATTAAGGTATCGAATTAAGGTCTATGGAGGTTACGGCTCAGGCCAGTTTAGGGCCCAAAAACAAAAGCACGACCCAAGAGGCCCAAAAGCGACGACAGTTCGGCACACTCCACCGAGCGGCTGCAGCAACCTGAAAAGTGTACGGGACTGAGAGAGCGCGAGTTGGACCAAGGAATGCGCACGAGGCCGGGGCCTAGGCGAGACCGCGATGTGGACCCAAATTAGCGAGGCACTTGGGAATGGTGGAACCCCAAAGTGTTGGCGCGCTGCTTGGAAAAAACACCTGAACGCCTCAACCTCAAACACCCCCAACCATCAGCCATATAACTCTTAGGCACCCTAAGCCAAGTGTGGGCTGTCCCTTACACCCCAAAGTAAGCATGCAAAAGGGGGCCTCTTCGGCCTGCTGCTGCGCTGACGATGCGGCGGACAGCTGCCTGGGTCTGAGCGGAAGCTCGTGGAAACCTGGTTCTCCTCTAAACGCTAAAGGTCGGAAGGTGCAGCAAAACCACATCACCCGACACAAGGGAAAAATGAAGAGCAACCTCATGGGTTCAGGGAAAAGGGCTTCCAGAGCTTCTGGGGTTTTTTACTAGGAGTTTTTGGGGAGGCTTTGGGCTTACTGGCTCAGGGTGTTGGGGTGGTTCAACAAGCCCTCCCCTCAATGGTTTGGGGGCTCCAAACCAGCGGCACTCTTCCGCTCCGGGACCCCAGCTGCTCGATGGCGTGCTGCGTGCGAACCCGCTCGGATTCCAACAACCTGAAAGGTCAGCTGAAAGGTCATAGGCAAGCACGCAGTCGATCCTCCCCACGCCCGAAAAGCAGATGGCATGGGGAGCCCACCGCGACCCCCCTAAACCCCTCGAACCCACAGCCCGCAGAGCCCCCAAATTTCCCCCCCTTTTGTCTCCTAAACCCTTAACCCTAAACCCTAAACCCCAAACCCTAAACCCTAAACCCCAAACCCTAAACCCTGAATTTCCCCCCCCCCCCTTTGTCCTGGCTAGGGAGCCGGGCTCCTGGGACTCTTGCAGCCGCTCCTTGCTGCGCTCGGCTTCGCGCTCAGACGCCTCAGTGGCCTCCGGAAGGGTTTAGGGTTTAGGGTTTAGGGTTTAGGGTTTAGGGTTTAGGGTTCAGGGTTTAGGGTTTAGGGTTTAGGGTTTAGGGTTTAGGGTTTAGGGTTTAGGGTTTAGGGTTTAGGGTTTAGGGTTTAGGGTTTAGGGTTTGGGGAGGGGACAAGAGGGGGGCAGAGTTAAGGGACTAAGCGGCTGGGGCTTTGACAGTTCTGGGCGACAAGTTTTTGGGTTGCGAGGGGTCGGATTTTGATGAAGGCACTCTCGTGTGATAAGGGGTTTGAGATGCCTCCGTAGCTCAACGTGCGATTGTAAAGGACCCTAAACCCTAAACCCCAGACCCTAAACCCTAAACCTAAACCGTAAAACCTAAAACCCTAAACCCTAAACCCTACTCATCCGGGTGGAGCATCCACCACTTTCCCGTAAGGAAAGCCGGGTCTGTGCCCCTGAATGAAAACAGCAGGTTGCCTCTGAAACCATTGCGATGGCCGCTCGGTTTGCCTGGACGAGCGGTGGTGGAGGAAACGTTGGCTGAGGTCCAGGTTCCGGCCGCACAATTAGAAGAGGGCTTTGGGGCTGTTGTTTCTAGTATCGTTATAAAGGGACCATCCGGGAATACCATTAGTAGTTATTCCGACCCCTATCTTACACGCCAGTCGGCGCGTTTCAACGCAGACCCTCCGCAGATTGGCGGCCTCAGCCACGAGCTCTTGGCTCTCTCTTGCGGCGTCGGCCTGCACTGTCGAGACTATGAGCACCCCCCAAACCAGGGGGAGGGAAAAACCGGTTCCCAGCTCGGGCCTTTGCTCTGAACGAAACTTCCGGGGGGCACTCAATGCTAGGATCCGCTCTGCCACAGCAACGCACACAGGTGCCAAGCCTCGGGGTGTTTGGATCAACGCACACGAAGTACCTTTTTGCTGCGTGCCTGTCGGATTGACAGAGGCGCCAACCAAGAATCATGCACGGAATCACCGTTGGATTCCTCAAGGTGACCGGTGCGGGTCTGATTCCAGGAGGTCCCTGAACTTCTTTTGTCCCGAGTTTGGGGATGTAGGGTTTCGGGAGTGTCGGGTATCGGGTAGATGGATGCCAAGCTCGTCTTGAGAAATCGGCTATCGGCGAGGCTCCAGAACTTCGCAAAGTGCCTCACGCAAAAACTGCATGTCTGACCATCTTTGCTCCAATTGCATTAGAGGGCCGGCGGGGATGGACCTTTCCAGATTTCTCTTGAACGCTCCTCGTTAGTCCGAGAACTGGGAGTTGGAGGGTACAGCAGGGCGTGAGGGGCCTGAGGGGTGCAACCTGAAGGGCGGGCTTGGGATTGAGGGCCTGGCAGTGTCTTGGGAACAGGGATTCGGCGGGTTTCCTAAACCCTTAACCCTGAACCCTGAACCCTCTTGCAAGGACAGGCAAGGCCAAAACCGCCTTGCAGGCCATGCCCCGCGGCCCTCGAATTGAACCATTTCTTTATTTTACTTTTATCGGATTTTGGAGAGGGGGGCCCCTGAAAAGAGGGGCCCTGTGAGGCCAGCCAGGGGGCCTTCGGGCGTCTCAGGAAGGTGCCGTTTAAGGGCAAGGCGGGGGCTTTGGCCGAGCACACTCCCGAGGCTGCCTAAGGTTCAGGATTCAGCCCAATAGCCTTTGAAAAAAGGGAATACATCACTACTGCTATATATATATATATATGAGAGAGCAACCTTTCGGGTCTATTTAGCTCCTTCCTTTGTTTTAATAAGTGAAATTAAATTAAATTATTTAAATTATTTAAATTATTTAATTGACTCCCATTAAATAATTTAAAAAAATTAAATAATTTAAATAAGCAAAATTATTTAATTTATTTAATTTATTTAATTGCCTCCCATTAAATAATTTAAATAATTAAAATAATTTAAATAAGCAAAATTATTTAAATTATTTAATTTATTTAATTGACACCGATTAAATAATTTAAATAATTTAAATAAGCAAGATTAATTAAATTAGTTAATTTATTTAATTGACCCCTATTAAAGAAATTAAATAATTTAAATAATTTCTGGCTGGTCTGGAAAGTTTCCTGAATTAAATTTATTTAAATTATTTAATTTATTTAAATTATTTAAATTATTTAATTGACCCCTATTAAATAATTTAAATAATTAAAATAATTCAAATAAGCAAAATTTTTTAAATTATTTAAATTATTTAATTGAGTCCCATTAAATAATTTAAATAATTAAAATAATTTAAATAAGCAAAATTATTTAAATTATTTAATTTATTTAATTGCCTCCCATTAAATAATTTAAATAATTTAAATAATTTAAAGAAGCAAAATTATTTAAATTATTTAATTTATTTAATTGACCCCTATTAAATAATTTAAATAATTTAAATAATTTAAATAAATTTAATTCCGGTAACTTTCCAGGCCAACCAGCAAAACAATTAAATAATTTAAATCCGACAGCTCAATTAAATAATTTAATTAAACTGCGGGATTTAAATTATTTAATTGACTTTTTTTCTGGCTGGTCTGGAAAGTTTCCTGAATTAAATTTATTTAAATTATTTAATTTATTTAAATTATTTAAATTATTTAATTGACCCCTATTAAATAATTTAAATAATTAAAATAATTTAAATAAGCAAAAATTATTCAAATTATTTAAATTATTTAATTGACTCCCATTAAATAATTTAAATAATTAAAATAATTTAAATAAGCAAAATTATTTAAATTATTTAATTTATTTAATTGCCTCCCATTAAATAATTTAAATAATTTAAATAAGCAAAATTATTTAAATTATTTAATTTATTTAATTGACCCCTATTAAATAATTTAAATAATTTAAATAATTTAAATAATTTAAATAATTTAAATACATTTAATTCCGGGAACTTTCCAGGCCAACCAGCAAAGCAATTAAATAATTTAAATCCGACAGCTCAATTAAATGATTTAATTAAACTGCGGGATTTAAATTATTTAATTGATATTTTTTTCTGGCTGGTCTGGAAAGTTTCCTGAATTAAATTTATTTAAATTATTTAATTTATTTAAATTATTTAAATTATTTAATTGACCCCTATTAAATAATTTAAATAATTAAAATAATTTCAATAAGCAAAAATTATTTAAATTATTTAAATTATTTAATTGCCTCCCATTAAATAATTTAAATAATTAAAATAATTTAAATAAGCAAGATTATTTAAATTATTTAATTTATTTAATTGACCCTATTAAATAATTTAAATAATTTAAATAATTTAAATAAGCAAAATTGTTTAAATTATGTAATATATTTAATTGACCCCTATTAAATAATTTACATAATTTAAATAATTTAAATAAATTAAATAAATTTAATTCCGGTAACTTTCCAGGCCAACCAGCAAAACAATTAAATAATTTAAATCCGTCAGCTCAATTAAATAATTTAATTAAACTGTGGGATTTAAATTATTTAATTGTTTTTTTTCTGGCTGGTCTGGAAAGTTTCCTGAATTAAATATATTTAATTTATTTAATTTATTTAAATTATTTAAATTATTTAATTGACCCCTATTAAATAATTTAAATAATTAAAATAATTTAAATAAGCAAAAATTATTTAAATTATTTAAATTATTTAATTGACTCCCTATTAAATAATTTAAATAATTAAAATAATTTAAATAAGCAAAATTATTTAAATTATTTAATTTATTTAATTGCCTCCCATTAAATAATTTAAATAATTTAAATAATTTAAATAAGCAAAATTATTTAAATTATTTAATTTATTTAATTCACCCCTATTAAATAATTTAAATAATTTAAATAATTTAAATAATTTAAATAAATTTAATTCCGGTAACTTTCCAGGCCAACCAGCAAAACAATTAAATAATTTAAATTCGACAGCTCAATTAAATAATTTAATTAAACTGCGGGATTTAAATTATTTAATTGATTTTTTTCTGGCTGGTCTGGAAAGTTTCCTGAATTAAATTTATTTAATTTATTTAATTTATTTAAATTATTTAAATTATTTAATTGACCCCTATTAAATAATTTAAATAATTAAAATAATTTAAATAAGCAAAAATTATTTAAATTATTTA